AATGAGTAACCCCAAGGTTTGGTTTTTAATGTTGCTGAAGATTTAAACAAATATAATAATAAAAAACTAATAATAAAATCAGACACTTATAATAGTATGCTAGTCATGTCCTAGAATATTCGTTTTGCTGTATATCTTAGAAACTTCAATATGCGATATTTTTCTACTCTAAATGAGTCAAGAAATTTAATTTTTTGGCTTAAAGGAAGCATTTTACGTCTTCCCTTTGGCATATCTTAACTTCCAGTGCTGTATTTTGTGTCTCCTGCTAAGTAAATCTTTTCTTTTTTCTATTTCTGTGGTATACCGCGGGTTACTGAAACCGTGGCTCATAACCGCCGCGGGTAAGTAATTATGACTAAAAGAAAAATTGACAGTAACTTCTGTATTCGAATTGAGTTGTGTGTGTGTGTGTATGTTTCTATGAATGCGCCAGTATATACGAAGATAGAGGAATAAATATATTTATATAAAATTTCTGTGTATATTTTTACGTACAGAAAAATGGCCAAAACTTGTAAACATCTAACTCTTTATATATACATCTACGCGTCCATCATCAAGGCGTTCAAACAGATGTTCTTTTAAACAGTTTTCCCCGATATAAAATTAAAAGCAAACAAAAACAGGAATTAATGATATCCGCTAAGTTTGGGGTTCATGAATTATCCGTGACACTACGTACTTGGCATCGTTATTTTCGGAACGGTTAGCCAACTCAGACGAAATTTCGTTGTTAGCGAAAGCTTCCGACCACCACTTTTCCTTCGAAGTTTTACTTCATCTTCTTCAAGTCTTGATGTATTGAAAACAGCTGTCAGGTAAATGATTGGCTGACTGCAATGACGTTCACGTTGCTTTACCTACTATATATTTTTTGCCATTTTTTTTTGACATTTATAAATTATATACTTTTTATAAATATTGGATTTTTTTACCTGTTCATTAGATAGCTTAGGCATTCTCAGAGCATACAGTGTATATACAGGTTATTATGTGATAATTCCCATGAATAAATTTATATACATGCATAAGCATGCTATATATATATATATATATATATATATATATGTGTGTGTGTGTGTGTGTGTGTGTGTGAAAAGTGTATATAAATATAAACAAATATATATATGTATAGTTATTTATATATTATATGCGCGGTACTTATTAGAAAGCGCTCAATATCAGAGATAGAGCTAACATATTTGGTTGGATAGATGTGAGTTTATCCAACCAAATTTATATATATATATATATATATATATATATATATATATATATATATAGAGAGAGAGAGAGAGAGAGAGAGAGAGATAGAAGGTGCATAACACAAAATTCAAATTTCACTGAATTTTGACTTGATATAATGTTCAGTTTATTTAATCAACATGTACAACTAAATTGTTTTGACAAGGGAAAAGCTTATATTGAAAAATAATTTGTTCTCTAATATAAATGCTTAGATAGATAGATAGATAGATAGATAGATAGATAGATAGATAGATAGATAGATAGATTAATTTTTTAATCTGCATTATTTAAACAAGTTAAATGGTTTTTAAAACAGTTTCTACTAAAATATTTGCGCCTAGAGGAAGATCCTCAAAATATAAAACCAAAACCAGTCCTCTCATGACTGCTTTTTAATAAGATAATATTCTACAGTTGATGGGAGAGAACATAGCAATAATCTTATTATTAACAAGTGATAAAAAAAATTTTATTCTAATTCCCAAGTGCAACTGTAGAAAAAAAGAAGGACTGTCATTTAAGCGGAAAACATTTAATTTCAAATATGGTGGAGTAGGCTACTGAAAGGCGAATGTACATACTGAGAAAATGTATATCGGTGCAACGGAAATAAGCTGGAAGCAAAATTTTGTAATCATAAGTCGTCAGTTAATAATAAGCCATATGCGAATACTATCACATTCTCTGAGACTATGTAGGCGGAAAAAATAATAAAAACTGAAATTATATGGGAAATAGTAAAAAGCAAGCATACCTACCATAGGAAATCAAAGTCCTTTAAACTGTATTTAGAAGAAAAACTAGTAACTTAAAAACTTCTAGCCATAAATGCAATACTGAACAATCAGAAGTAGTCCGGAAGCGCTGATATGAGAACTAATTTACCGCCAAGAACAAAATTGAAAGGATTATTTTTAGCCACGGATGGGACTGACGTTGATTCATCCTTTTAGCTACGTCGAGTGAATCTTTTTTTTTTTTTAATCTCACCTCAGTTTCTCTCCTGAAATTGTTTTAAGTGATATATAAATATGTGTGTGTGTGTGTGTGTGTGTGTGTGTGTGTGTGTGTGTGTATCTCCGGTTTGTAGGATGTCTAATAGTATCCGAAACACAAGTGGAGATGATGAGACGTAGTTTACAAGCGACGCGCTTCGTCGACATCTGTTGGTTTCGCCTTCTTCCGGTCTAAATGAAAGACAAAACCGTGAGCGAGGAAAATGCATTGGGATTTTTTAGGATAAGAGGGGTAATAAATTAAATTACATTACCAGATCCAACGGCCAGAAACCTGAAGGTTTTTTTTTCTTATATATATATAATGTTAAATCATTAAAATGATTTTAAATCAACCCTCTCCGAGTACAGCTTGTATGTCGCATTGTGCTATTATTGCCGTGGATATGATCGGGGATATTATGTATGGTTCTGGGGAATTGTGTCAATTTCTTCTTATTGAATCCTTTTCTCTCCTGACCAGACTAGTATTTATTAAGTTGAAATTGTTATTAGATGTATTACGCTGAACCACCAATGCATTTAAAATGTTGTTATGCAGTGTATTATATAGTCTTTTTTTATGTTTCTGGATGATCCGCCGATGTGCATCATTAGGCATTTTGTACAATCTGTTCTGTATATTCCTGCTTCTGTCTTCTTGTTGTTGCTATCTCGTTTGGTACTAACTATAGCTCTTATTTTTTAAAGGAATTTTAGGTTAAGTTTGGATGAGCTATTTTCGATGGTAACTGTTATATACATGGTAGATAGGATTATGTGCATACTTTTATTATAGTTGTTGTTATTATTATTATTTGTGGAGTTTTTCTTTTTTTTCTTCTGTAGATTTTTCTTTGGGTATTGGAGGAATATAAAAATATATATTTAATTCTATCTGTGTTTACATATATATATATATATATATATATATATATATATATATATATATAAATTGTTAGAGGTACAAAAACGTAATATTGCAAGGAAAAGATATAATTTGTTTCTCATAGGCATTAGGAAATATGAAAATAAAAAATAAGAAATGAAACAATTACAAGACAGACCAACCAGTTTCATTCCCAAGCTCATCAGGGTCGACTGGGAACAGATTAATTAAATTGGTATGAGGAAAAACCAAAATCAAAACAACGCGAATTTGCGTAGCGTAAAAAAAAAATTGTGGGGGGGTGCATGATTCACAGACACTAGAGTCTAATAATGTGAAGTCCAAGGAGACAGCCTTTTTGCTTACAAAGTGACGGCTCCCTGGACCGGATGTACAGAGACTCCAGTACCCGAAAATGAAAAGGAGAGTGCGAACTAGACAGAACAGAGAACCAGTCCGGACTGGAATTCATTGCACAATCCCTGCATTTTATAAGATGTTCAGTGATAGCTGACCCGGAAGTATTGACCAGTTGGCTCTTACGGGCATCTGGATTAAGAATACATGAGGGGACATGCTGCCTAATCCTACAATCCAAGTGTTGGGAAGTCCTTCCTATGTAGTTGCTACCACAACCACAATTAAACAAATAAATCACCGAAGAAACATGATGGGGAGGAAGAAGATACTTATGCATAGAAGAAAAGATAGAACGTCGCAAAATGAACCCTTAGTTGAGCAGAAAAATAGCACAGTTGAACAGCAGACAAGATCCGCTTAGCCATAAGATCGCCCCGCGAACCAATAAAAGGAAGCCGCAGATAAATAGGATATTTCTGAACTAAGTATTGTTTATCCTTTCGAAAACTAATAATCTTATCACGCATGACACTATCAAGAGTATCACTAGGATATCCATTTTTCAAAAGAGTGTAGCAGATAAAATCCAATTTATCATCCAAATATTGTTCACTACAAATCATCAAGGCCCTGTGAGTTAAGGTCATGATGAGATTGATTTTGCGCTTTTTGGGACAAAATGAGTCCCAACGCGTATACAAACCAGAAAACATTGGTTTGCGAAACACCGAAGTAAGAAATTGAGGACACTGAGAAAGGGGAGACAAGAATTAGATTCCTTTTCGATGGTAAATTTTAAAGATGGATGAAGTTGGTTCATGACTGAGAGAAAGGAATCAGCTTCCGCTTCACTATTGAAAAGACAAAATGTATCGTCCATATAACATAAATATATTATAAAATCACTACAAAAATAGCCATTCAGGACCCGAAAGTCTACCGTCGATTGATTCTTAAACTTCATTTAACTTGATTTCAAATTATTCAAATATTTGAGATAAAAAACAAAAGTACTAATGTTTAGTTTTAAGGCGTAATTAAAAAATGATTTTATTGTTATTTTTCTTAATGATAGTAGAAATGTATAATCAGAGATTTTAATGAAAATTGATAAAGTTGTTTTAAAATCCCTAAAACATTTCAATTCATCAATTTATTTTCATGGTTAGCCTTTTTTGGAATCATTGAACACAAAAATACTGTAGAAAGACAAGCATTATCCTTTTGAAATTCATTTCATTGGTTCACTTTTTAAATAAACAAAGTTTCAGAGCGTTATATGCTTCAAACATTAAAGAGCTGTATTTTCATGCGGTTTCTTCGAACTAGTAATACATTTGCTGCCATTTATATGTAAGTTATTCAAGAGACATCGGAAAAATTAACATTTGTACGCCGCTAAAACATTGAATGACTTGAATTTTCCCATTTATTTTTCTTAATACCCTTTTTAATTCCTTGTTTCCATATTTGAAAGAATCTCATTGTGATATTTATTTCTTCAGGATCTATATGAAGATGACGTCATGCTTCTTGATACATACAAAGAGGTAAGTCACTTTCGATCAGAATTTTGTCTTTTTGTCCTTGGAAACATTCATTAAATATATTATATATTATTAAAAACGTTGAAGCCATTTTTCAGGATGATAATGCCACTTACCACAAAGCAAAGAATTTAATTTTTTTTGTTTGTTATTTTTTTATGGAAAGGGGATTTGAATCCAATTGAAAATTTATGGCGGAAATTTAAAAAATAATCCATGACAAGTATCCATATTGCAAAGTTGATCTGTTAACTGCTATTAAAATTGGAATCAGTCCGAGCGATAATAAGTCAAGTCCGTGGCTCAAAGAGTTCAGACCATCATAAGAAGGAAAAATAAAGTCCTAATTATATTTTATGTTTATAACATCATATTTTTCCTCTACTTCATATAGGGAAAATTATTTTATTAGCTTAAATAATTTAATTTGAGATTTTTCGTGAAGACAAAATATTCAACTCTTCAAACAAATATTTTTCTATCATATGTGTGCTTTGTTTTTTTCTGCAAAGTGATGGGTGAATATTCTCTTTGCGTGATAATTCCATAATTTTTTTACCAGGGTTTGCATGTGTTTGTCTCAGAGAGAAGTGTATTTAGTCAGGAATTTTGTTAAAGATTGTTATATTAAAGATTGTTTCTTTTTTAATGCTTCAGATAACTTTTTACTTCGCAAAATGAAGTCGAGTCTTTTCAGTTACATTTATTCTACCATTATAAAATTTTAAAATTTAAACAAGACAAATAACGATTATTAATTTTGTGCTTAGAAGTATGGTTGAAAGTAGTAGCGCGAAAATGTTTGACAATATTTACACTCGTTGAATTCAAACATGCATTCTCGCATAGGTAATCAAAGAAAGTTAATGAAAAATAAAATAAAAGCATCCTTTCCTAGTGATGATGCTTAGCTCTGTATACGAGGCGGGGGTGAAAAATCCTCATCCCAATCCACTTCATAATATTTTACCAAACTTCAGAATTTTTAAAATCCCTTCTTGGACTGCTCGAAAAGTTTTCAGCATCCCTAAGAAAGAAAGAAAGAAAGAAAAAAAAAAGAAAGAAAAGAAAAAAAGAATATATATATATATATATATATATATATATATATATATATATATATATATATATATATATAATGTTGATTAAACACAGTACCGCTGTATACTGGTATATCATTAATTCTGTAGCTTAATGATGAAAGTAATCAATTATTTAAAAATGTAAATATTTAATTTTCAACTCAATTTTATTTTTTCAGTGCACTCAATACAATGTTTCTCCATTAAAACATACAATAAACATTATAGTTCAGATTAAATTATATGTTCAGATTAAAATTCATCTAATAAATGCGTGATGCTACAGACTCCACCCACACATTATCAAAAGTATATTTTTTAAATCGTTATAGGTGATGTCAGTCGCAACAATTGAACCCAAGAAGCATTTAGCGCCAATTTCAATGCCCATTAACCTCCCAGTTCAAACCCTGTCAGATGAACTGTGTATGAGAAAACTCGCATGCGATTCACATTTTGCGATCATGATAATTTGAAGATCATTTGGATACTGTCTACTTGTAATATTCTCTGTGTCCTGAAATTATTTGCGGCTTCAACTCTCTCTCTCTCTCTCTCTCTCTCTCTCTCTCTCTCACTCTCTCATTCTCTATCTATCTATCTAACTCACACACACACATTCAACAGGCAAGTTCTCTTACAAAATATTTTAGCCATTCAAGCGAACTTGAAAAATTTGCTTTTCTTTTACGAGAATTATTTCTATTAGTAGAGTTACAATTTACAGAATGATGCTGAGAATACTATGAACAGAATATGTGACCAACGAGGAGGTTTTTAAAACAAAAAGACACTTATACTTAAAATCAATAAGAGATAGTTTAAATTTCTAGAACACGTAATGAGGAAAGGGGGTTTGGGAAATTTGACCTTCACAGAACATAGTGAAGGGAAGTGTAACAGGAAAACTGCGAGTAACCTATCTAACGAGCTTGTTTAAATAGATACCAGAACAGAGACGAAGATGAATAGTAGGCGGATAAAAAGATACAAAGGATAGGAAGTTGTGGAGAACCGTGATCGCCCACTTTCAAATGAGAAAATCTGAATCGACAGAGATGCGGTTCTACAGGTGGATGCTGAGAATATTGAATGGACAATATTGAAGGTAAGAGCGGCTTGGCAGAACATGAACTGTAAGTGATAGTAAGGGGATAAACATTTCTTAGAGCTACAAAAGAAATTGTGGAGAAGCCATCAACTCTCCCTTTCTGGAGGGACACGGGACATAAAAGAGAAATTGCAATCTTCGGAAATCAACCTAAATTTATTCAGTTTATGTTTCACAAAAAGATTTTTTTAGCTAAGTTGTTCGTTTATTGTTTTGTTTTTTTGTTTTTGTTTTTTTGGGTTTTTTGGGGTTTTTTTAATTACTACATTTGTACTTTCATTTTTAGATTTACGTTTGGATCGGTAAAGGAGCAAATGAAACGGAAAAGAAAGAGTCACTAAAAACAGCAATGGTAAGGTTTTTTATAACGAACATTTTAAAAATACACGATCCATTTTCACCTTTATTCTTTTTTTCTTTTTCTGCTTTCGTATCATTTGAACAGGATTGCTCTATTAGCATGAGCATGCGCCGGTATACATTGATTTTGCTACCCGAAAACAAAAACAAAAATAGGAAGCGATCATATACTATGAGATTACAATAAATTATTTTTAAATTTTTAGTATTTTTAATTATCTATATACACAATTTATTTATAAGTTTTGTATGTAACTCTAGCTAAATTCTGTATATTTAAGAATCCAGTATCTAATTAAACAAAAATATTTTATATGATGTTTATATGAGTTTTAATGAACATTTCAAATGTTTGTGCCTTTTATTTGGATGTTTATCGAATTCAATGAAACACCAAAACAATTATTTCTGACTATAATAAACTGATATTTTTTAAACGTAACATTAAGCACAGTTAAGAAATGAAAAATACGAAGGAATTTGTTATAAAACAGACACACTCTTATATATTAAATTAAATTATAAGATTTAAATTTAAAATAAAAACAAGTTATACAAAAAGAAAATGTTGTGTTACTTAATACTTTTTAATTTTAATTATTCTGTGATATTTCTGCCACGTGTTCATTTGCTTGCATTTTGATAAAAACAGTTTGTTTAACTTCATTAATAGCTACAAATGTGTTTGCAAATTTATTTTAATTTCAGATTCACTTGTTTACTCTTCAAATTTAATTTACACTGAAAAGAACAGCAATGTTTTATTTTTATTAATCGATATATTTGGCATTAATTCTTACGAATCAATCGTTTAAGCATTTTAGAACATTTATCATGTTTATTTATAAGTTTGTCTTCTTTTCTTCTCAGGATTATATCAAGTCCGACCCATCAGGAAGAACTCCAGAAAACACCCTCATTTTACAAGTGAAACAAGGAGCAGAACCTCTCAATTTCAAAGGCTGCTTCCAGGGATGGGATCCAACCCGGTGGGCGGTGAGTTACAGCATAAATTTTCTAAGCTATCAGTAATAATGGAGATTTAATTTTACACTGACTGGAGTAAGATAAAATCAAAGGACATCTAGAGACTATGAGATTATATCAGGAGTTTTGAAAAAAATGGGAATTATGAAAGATCATCAATTTCAATATATTCCAGGATATAGCAAAAATGTGAAGCGTCTGTAGGCAAGTAATATAAATTTCAGAAAATGCGAAAGAAGTCATTTATAAACGGAGCTAAGCTGTCTTTTTAAAAAGTAAGCCCAAACTTATTTTTAATCTTAAGTTAAATTAAATCTTAATATTCTAGAAATGTCAATGTGTGGACGCACGTGGGTTAAATGGATGGCGAAAAAATATTTTTAATTTTGTAAACCATTTTTCAGAAAGGAAAAAGTTACGATGAAATGAAACAAGAACTACAAAGAGAAAATGATGGAATTGCCTTTGTCAGAGATGTAAGTTATTTTTCTTAATGTTTATCCGATTTTATATTTTATTCGGTAATACAAATGTCAGTTAATTATTATCATAATTGAAAAAGAAAACTGTTTATTACTTAAGATTAAGAAGGAAGCAAGAATGACAATTTTAAAGACAATTTATAAAATCATGTAACGCATTTAATGCATTTTGGTGTTTCCAGAGATTTGGTTAGCATACGCTTTCATCACTTTCTTGACCAGTTCGAGAGTACCTATTGCCACTAGTTGCACTTTCTTAGTACCTTTCCCATCTTGCATAAGGGTAACTCAGCTGTTCTATAAATAGATTACTTGAAAGCATTTGTTCTTAAAGCCTTCTCTTTAGCTTTTGGTTTCCTTCCCTAAGAACACGTTCCTAAGCCACCTCCATTATTCTGGATCTGTTATATCTTGGAGATGTTTCTCATCGTAAATGTTCTTCCTATAATCCGTCAATTGTTCTGTTTTCACAATTCAGCGAACGCATTAGTATCCACTCCTGGCTATTCTGTAACTATTTATGCAAGAAATTACATTCTGATGTTACACACTTTTCTATCCCTACCAAAACTTTTTTGGTGTAAGTAAAACTCCAAGTCTATTTAAAAATACTTGCACCATATCTCTCAATCTCGACTACCCAAGTATTGATACCTGAAAAAAAATTACACCATTCAAATTCTTTACACGTCGTGTAACCCACCATCACCACCACCATTCGTATCCATGATTTAATCTTGTCATTGAGAATCTTGTCCATCTGTAGAACTCTCAGTTGAATTTCTCTGATGAACTTTCCTCTATGGCATCCAAAATTCATAAATTTAAGTGCAATACTAGATTGGCAGCAAGGTCTCATCATTTTAGTTGTAATAGCGAGATGTAACTGTAAGTTCTATGCTGAGAATTTCTTCTATCGCAATTTTCTCGCTTGTGAAACTATCTTTCGGCTTACTGCTTCCTAGTCAACTTTGATTTTCAAAAATAATAAATAACAGCGGGTTAGCAAACCTCTCTGAGAAATCTCACGCTTGAAATCTCTTCGCCAAGTTACTAATTTAACTGTATTATTATTATTATATAGGTAGATAGGCAGACGCGAATGTATGTCTTAACAGATAATGGTCAAGTATACAATTATATACATATACGTTTCATTGATCAAAAAGCAAGTTGCGAACAGAATATATTTTTAAAAAATGTAATGCAATAATCATTGGCAAAAAAAAAATTTACAGAATTAATATTAAAGTCAATAAAATAATTCTGCAACATTTGGCACTTGTAAAATTATTTTTAATTAAAGAATAAATACACATTGCTAAAAACGTGTTAAAAAATTTATAATCACAAAAATGTCTCGCTTCAAATTGAGAAAATCGTTGGCCTTCATATTGAATGTTATTTTGTTTGTGAATTTTGTATTTTAGGAATTATCGAGGTACACAAAAAAATACAATCTGAAAGAACTGCGTAGAAGTTTTCTCCCAAGAGATGTCGACCCAACATGCAAAGAGGTAATTACTAATGTTTTATTTTATTTTTGATTCAAAATAATTCAGTTACAATAAGATTAATAAAATTCTGGGTTAAATAAATTTTGGTTCATAATTAAAATATGCAGGATGCAAAAAAGGAAACGATGGCGCGAGTGGCAAAATAAAATGACTCGTAAACTAGAAAAAAAGGCAAGAAACAACTAAATAAATGTATGTACTGTTTAAAGAACTAAGTAGAAAACGCCAAGATCGGTTGAGATTCATAGATTTTAGTTCATGTAGTTTGCAATAGCAACCTCTCGACTGCATGAAAAAGAATCTCATAATGAATGATTAAGTAGAATATGCTTCATTCAAAGACAATAAAGATTGGAATATGGCAGACCAATAATAAATCCTGACCAAACAAAGAATAGAAAATATATACCACTAAATGGATAGCAAAAAGCCACTGCCACATGAAAGAGAATAATGAAGAAAAGACAAAAACTATATGCTGTATGCCTATAAATCGACTAAGTGATTTTAAAGGTTTCTGGTCACAAGACGTAAAATTACTTGCAAAATAAATCAACATCATAAGATGTTTTTTTTGTTTTGGATATGGCGCATTCAGAATTCCATTGGAAAGACCTTCTTTAAGCAGAAGTAGTAGTTTTTGGATCTGAATATTGTTTACTTAATATGTGTGTATACGGTGGACTCTCCCGTCGCTATTTTAATCGATGTGTACAATTTCTGATTCTTCGATAGGTTTCTGAAGAATGTGGAACGATAACCGCTTATATATATATATATATATATATATATATATATATATATATATATATATATATAGTACAGGTAATCGTTCCGTTGTTGTATAATCCGGGTGGATCCTAGTAATATTGACTATTAAAACTGATCCACAGGGAGCTCGATGTTTTTATTTTAACAGACTCTATGTATTTTTACAGCAAAAAAAAAATGCATCAACATAGACTACTATTTCAAGCCGTTCTGTATACGGCTATCACCAGTCTGTATCGGAACATTGCTTTCAATTTATTTTCAATGTCAGTCCTCCTCTCGTTAATGAGAGTGGGTTTGTGTTAGCGATTGATCGGGGTGTAAGGTATATTATCCCATGGGAAGCGGTCTGGGGTTGGAGTTTATTTATGACCAGGACTTGTTTGTAGTTTAATATCAGTTCCTACTATGTAGTGAACAAGAATTGTTGTTTGTGGTTTAATATCAGCTCCTACTGTGTGTTGCTTCTTATAAAAAGCCCCGGAGTGTCTTTTTCTGGGATTCACAGTAAATAGATTTTTTTTATTATTATTATTACGGGTGTCCATTATTATTAATAATATTAATAAATGTTGGGGGATTTAGACTTAATTAAGCCCGTTAAGATTAATGTTAATTAGTTGAGTTATAGATTTATAGATTGTGGGTAATACTGGAGCACCCAATGGAATAAATCATTAGAAATCATGTTTAGAAGAAAAAATCAGAATAATAAAATATAAAGATCAATGCAAACTATTAAATCAACGGAGAGAACTAATCACGAAATGTAGACGTAGAAATAAATTCCAAATTACATACGAATACATGTGCATATATGTAGGGGTCTATGTGTACTTATAGTAGCATATATATGTATGAACATAAAGATATGTACGCATATAAGTGTGTTGGATAGCATGATTTATTCCAACTCGACCGATTTGGTACCCCTAGTCTATCGTAACACGGCGGAGAAATGGAAATTTTAATGTTTTCTATGCTAAATACGTCAGTGGCCCCGGAAAGCTCAATTCAATTCCGTTGAAGAGCAATGCGTCAATAGCGGTATGAGCCACTGTTTTTAAAATTACCCTTTTCTCAAGAGAGCTCAACTGGATTTCCCGGCAGCATATATATTGTCATCCACAACAGACTGTTTCGCTGTTCAGTGTGGCCAGACGTCCGATTGTTTCAAGCCGAGATCGAAAGCCGACCGATTTGGTATCAGTCAGAGATTCTACCCCTAAACAAACGGATAAATAGATATCCATGTCTTTGCAGAATAACCTATATTCAATGATCAAGAAAAATGCAAATTTGTCTTGCTATTAGGAATTTACAAATCTTTGCCCTTTAAAGAATTTATTCTATTCAATTTTCTATGTGTTTGTTTCCTTAAAACAATTCTATCTATTTCTTTTGTTCTAGCCTTTAACTCCTAATCAACTTTTGCATCTTTTTCCCTACAAACCGTTTTTCCATGCTCCAGTTTCTCAATAAGCATCTTTTCTCTAACATTTACAAAGTGCTTCAGTTATGTTGTCAGTTTGAAGTTTATTTATTTTCTCACGTCCAACCTTTTTTTTTTTTTCAGTTCTTATTCCTTGGGGATTATATGTGTCTTTTTTATCCCTATTTTTCCTATTTTGTCACTTTAGTTCCTTTCAGATTGGTTTCAGTTTCCAATAGTCACGAGAGGGACGAGGAAGCTTTAATGATTTTTCATTAGTTCTCAAATTTTCCGTTTCTTTCTGTATATTTTCTTTGTCGAATTCTTGATCTTTTTCTTCCCTGCTTTACCTTTCTGTTTAACTCCATTACATACTGAAGAGAATTAATCTATTTTCAATGGCTACTTTGTTTAGTTCAGTGGATCCTTCGCTTGTTACAGAAAGTGTTGTCTTCAGGTTTCATATATCTACAATTATTTTCCTCCATTTTGAAGTAGCAGTGAAGAACTGATTCGTTGTCTTTTATGTTCCCTTTTATTGATTGATCAACAATGCCATTAGAATATGTATCCCCCTTGATGTCATCAGTGAAATATCACTACATAGCCAACAGTTGCAGTAGAACGCTCGTGCCCTTCTTGTTGGCTATCAACTGGTCATAATGCTCAAATTTGTCATTTGAACCCAACGTTTATTAAGTATAATTCTATTTAACGCTATCAAACATATTAAACTAAAGTATTTGATATTATGCAACCTCTGTTCATAGTGATATTTTAACTGAATTCTCTATCTCTCTGATGTTATTAGTAGGGTTGCGATAAAATGATATAGTCAAGGAATTACAAGAGAAATAATGAAAATAGTCAGATACAGGGAGGGGTGTAACTAAGTATTGAGAATGATTAAAATATGTGGGTCAAAAGACTGGATATTTGGAAAAGTGATGGATAGCTCGATAGCAGAAGGTAAGTAAACGTTTTTCTTTGCATTTGTCTCAATGAGAAATCTTCCCTTTTGTTTTGAAAGCATTTTGAACATTTCTGGTTGTCAAGAAACAATTCTACTCAGAAGACAGTCTCTAACTCAGAGACATTTATTATTATTATGAACTAGGATCACAATTAATGAAATTCTAGATGTGGCGGCGCTTCAATACACCTTCCAAGATAACTCAAATTAAGAAAAGACTACTGTCTAATCGTTGAAATAGGTGAAAAGGTTCATTTTCAATGTTTCGTCCGTTTACATAAAATACAGTTTCCCCTTGCTTCTAAGATAACCTAACTTCTTGAACAAAGAAAGCTAAGAGGCAATAAAACTGCAATGAAGTTTAATTAAAGTAGTAAAAGTGTCATAACATATGTCAAAACTTATAATAATAAATTTTTATAATAAGTTGCCAGGGCATTCAAGAAAATGAAAACAGAAAATAAATAGAAAAAGAGTTTAAAACCTGAACAACGTGGTGAAAACAATTGTAGAATTTAGCTAAATGCCTTTGTAACCTGTCGCAGTGAGAATCGCCTTTCCCACTTAGAAAGATATACTTCGAAATATATTAATTGTGAGAACTCAATAGTCTAATACTAAAGAATATATATATATATATATATATATATATATATATATATATATATATATATATATATATATATATGTCCATAGAAAAGTAAAATTGTATCCATAAAAAATGAAAATCTCTGTCTACAGCAACCTGAAATTTCAAACCTTTCATACCTTAATTAAATTTCGTTAATTTCAGTGTTAATTGGTTAAAGGAGTTGCTCGCGTTTAGAAGTTAGGCGCAACGTTAAATATAAATATCTATTATGAAGATGAAGCCGCATTTTACTAAACCAATTGCTCTTTCTCTTCTTGCAGAAATACCTCACAGACGAAGACTTTCACGACGTTTTCAAAATGACTCAAGAAGAATTTTATGCAAAACCCAAATGGAAGCAGATTGAATTGAAAAAACGCTGTGGACTTTTCTAGAATTAGATGATCTGATTTGCATAAAGTATTTTTTATGACAAATAATCGGGATTATGGATTTTGAAATATTTGCCTCCCAAAGAATATGGAAATTTTATAGAGTAAGAATGAATTGAAAAAAATTCAATTTTTAAAAGATTGAATGATAGATTGTAAATGATTGCAGAATATAGTGTGAATTACTTACGGATTAAGTGTGTACATACAATTGCAAAATAGTCATAAATCCATACATATATATGAGCATGTAAAAAAGTACTGCATGTAAATATAGATATATATTTGATATGTACACTGACACATAAACAGACGCACGCCAGGATACATATGCACATTAATATTTCTAAACAAAGGTAGATTTATATCCGAAATGAGAAAGCAATACTTCACACGCTCTTACTGAATCGAATATTATAATTATTGATAAATATGTAAAATTCAGTCACTTTTTAGACGTTTCTAAATAAATATACATATATTTTAAGAAAACACCTCGACAAATTTATGACTGTTATGTCTTAACCATGAAAGCTCATCGATCAAAATTAACGCTTATTTAACAATGTGCAGCGCAAAAGTAACTTTTGCCGATCATAGTCAATATAAAAGTTTCTTTATTATTATTATTATTATTATTATTATTATTATTATTATTATTAGTGTATCAAAAGTATTTTTAAGCTAAATCTCTAACCGAATTCAAATTCTGAACGTATCTGTTATGTTCATTTTCGCATAAATGCCAGTGAGGAAAGCATAAATACGTCTCTTCTTCCACCAGCTATGTGTAGATTTGGTCCTCTAGCCTTACCAGTCTAACAGAAGGAAAACTCTAAATTCAAAACCGTAGAAAAGGCAACAGAAAACTACTTCACTATCTTTCCCAAAAATTCATGGCATTAAAAAAAAAGCTGTGTAAAATCATGATCGCCTACGTTCTGAAAAAGACATGACATTAGCAACAAAAGTATTTTACATATGAAATCTTTCGATGATCGTAGCTCTTCCGAAAGTTTTCGAGTATTATTAATGATCAGGTTTTCCTCTACCTTTCGTTTAAAAGCATCATAATCGACAACTGATAATCGTCCAAGTCTTGGTTTTATTTTACCGCACTTAAACAATATTTGATCTGTACAGTCAGATATTGTTTCATTTCCATTCATTTCCAGAATTCTGCTAGCTTTGAGGTTCACATGAAAACAATGCCTCAAAACTACCAGAATCTCAATAATTGTACTTGATATTATAATATTTAAAATATAATCTATAACTATAGTAGTACTGATAATGATATGTAATAATAGCGTTAATAAAATGATCAATAGACTTTAAATAAGTAAATGAAATGACTTTTTGACGTAAATGTTTATGAAAACCAAATTATTTTTTATAAAACCTGGTATTTATTTTAGACAGTTTAAAATTGAGGAAATACTTTTTACTCATCATAAAGTGAACCTGAAATTATCAACGTCTTGAATAATTCACAATAATCCACCTTTTGCAACATGTTGCTAATAACACAAGCCTCTACATTTTTTTGCCAGGTTTATAACAATTTCGTGATGACTTCATCTTATATATATATATATGTATGTATATGTATATATAAATTATAACTTCGCTTATTTCTGTCTCTCTACGAGAGGCACAAACCTAGTTTATGCAATGTTTGATTTGTTTGTTGCATCCTACTTGGATGATGATAACATTTCATATGCTGATGGCAGCAGCGGTTTCTTGTTTCCTTAACGCTCCATCTGAACTCCATTATCCTAATGCCTCTCCCATGAAAGACGTAAACAAAATACTAAGGGTCGCCGTTGGGGGCACATTAAACCATTCTTTCCTCTGATCCCACACATGTAGCAGCCACATTGATTGTGCGCACATCTTGATAACAATATAGTCAAGTACAATTACTCTACCACACATAGACATTAATGCACGTTATTATAAGATATCATTCTACAGTTATTTTCTGATATGTGCACCAACGTTTATCATCTACCTGTCTATAAGGAGATTAATTTACTTAATTCTAATATACTTATTAAAATATATACCGATACTTTACACACAGATATTTTTTTTAAATACTTGGGTAGATGGGTCAAATATTGTTTCATTTCTATCCATTTCCAGAATTCTACTAGCAGCTTTAGCGCCTTTGAAGTTAAGATTAAAATAATGCCTCAAATATATTAAATAGATAGATAGATAAATAGATAGATAGATAAATAGATAGATAGATATATAGATATGTGTTTTTTGTGCGCATGTACTAAAGATATAAAAACACATTCATCTAAATCAAACTAATTAAATATATGTTTGCTCAATAATGCTCCTTTCAAACTATTTTAAAGCATCATCACAACCAGGTTTTCTATTACATAATGATTATAAAATACAATTACGTAGGAATTCAGAAGACTCAGTAATTAATTGCACTATTTAACTATGGATTATTTAAAGTATTGGGAATTTAAACTATTTAGTAATCATATTAAGCACCAATATTTTCAAAATTATTTCCTTATTCGATTCAAAGTTTCTAATATTGCACTGTATTTACCATAAATATATCAAGCATTTTTTTAAATTCTTGTTGCACTCTTTCTTTTTTCTAATATTAAGATTCCAAAGCATTGAAATACATTTTATTAATTTTTATTGCACATAATAAATAAAAAAAATGTATTATCTTTCTATCCAACAGTTCGCAGGCAGCGCTCTTTCACAATTTTTATTCAGTAATTTCGAATAATTGGTGTTTCTGTTTTATAAACATACATGTGGTATTATATTTGCTCACTAATATTATCACAATGATATTTCCCGTGTTATTTCAACATTTATACAAGACCAGACTCTTATTTTGGGGACTAAATCCTTTATAGCGTCTGCTTAATAAATTCTTTTTTTTAAATTTTACTGAAAATTTTTTAAATTATTTTTTATTTTGAAAACATATTTTCTCAAAAAAATCACTATCTTTGCTTTCTAGGTGTTTGGGGCAGTTTTTTAGGATTTTTTTTTAAACACTTTGGCTTTCTAAACATAACTAGCGATATTTTCTAGGATTCAATCAATCCTAGTTTTCTTGGGAGCAGCATAAAATTATTGATAATAATTATTGCAATTCAAGAACACGTCTTTGGGAACTTGAGAATGCATTTACGCTTCCAGTTTCATATGGCCTGCTCGAGGGTGTTATAAAAATTTGAAAGATATCAAATATTAGGCATATATGCTAATATTTAATGCTTTCTCTTTTTCTCTTTATTTTCGCCCGAAGCATTATATATTTTTATGTATCAATAAATATTTTAATAACTACTTCAACTTGCCTATTTCATTTTTATATTACTTGTAATATAAAAATGAAATAGGAAGGTTATGCAACACTTAAATACTATAGCAGTATATTAAAATAATATAGCAGTATATTAAAATAATATACTGCTTTAGTATGTCCCACACAAAATAACTGAACTGAAGACCATAAGGATCCCGATGCTCAACCGAGTTATAAACTATATATGAGAAAAGAAATACTATCAACCGAGTTGAGTAAGAAGAAAAGTCTTAAATTATGGAGGTCGGTCAAAAATTAATGACCGTTCTAATTAATTATAAAATATTAGTCAAATTTCCTCCTTTTTTTCATAAACCATAAAAGTGTCTAGAAGATCAGGATAAAAATTCGTAGAGTTAATTTATTGTTGCATATTCATAATTCTCTGTCAAAATGGTTCTGGACACATGTAGAAAGCAAAGGAATTCCATAGAATATTTTATGGGGAAGTTCTTGCAAATACTCATAGACGGTTAATGAATGCTTATGGAATGGCTAAATGCCAGGTCAGGACCAATAATATTACAGATTCTTCTTTTGAGTTTATCAAGAATATTATGATAAAATATTATACGACAAATGCACTTGACCATATGTGGTAGCAATATTTGAAGTAATATATAAATATGTAAGATAGATTCTGGAGAAAAAATTGTCTAGCACGACACAATAAACCAACATTCCTAGCAGCAAACCCATTAATTGATTCAATATCATTTTTCCACTTCATGTCAAACAGTTAATCTTCTGGAGATTAGCATCAGCCATGTTGATGGAAGACAGAAAGACATATTATTAATAGACAGTAGTCATTTTGTAGTCGTTAAAATTAACAAGCCATTTCTTACCCCAGTTAACAGTAGATTTTAGGTCGTTTTTTTAGATCGACTGTCAATTTGACTTTATCGAACCGATCAGACTTACCATTAAAACAGGAATAAATAGCTGTGTCAGCATAGATACCGAGTTGAGAACTGATGGTATTAAGAAAGTCATTGTCGAAAATTATCAATAACGTAGGTTCAAGGATAGAGCCTTGGGAGACACCTGAATTAATGCAAAAGATCTAGAAGAGTGGCCGTTAAGGACAACTTTCATTTCGCTATTTGGTAAGAAAGACTGAACCAGTTAAAAAATCGTCCAGAAACAGCATAACCTTTCAACTTGTGAAGAAGACCGGTATGCCAGACTCTGTCAAATGCTTTCGGAATGTCCAAAGCAACAGCTGATATTCACCATTCTTATCTAAAGTTTGATAAACTATTTCAGCAATAGTCCTTAATGTGTCAGCAGTTGACGCAAAGAAGAGAAAGCCATATTGTTTATCTGAAAGAAGAGTCTGTGATGTGATATGATTAAACAATTCTGAGTTGATTAGGGCCTAATGTGATATATCCATTTCAAAAATAGAAAATACATATCGTCTAAAGAGATAGTCTTTGCACGAAAGACAAGTTTGATCTTCCTTCGAATTTTTATAGATTTGACTTGCTTCGACCATTCGTAAGAACAGATATAAACACAAATATTTTATAAAATGAAGGCAAAATAAGTGTTAAGATTTATGAAAATGTAAATTTTATGGAAATTATTATAAAGTTTTACTAGAATTAGTATTTTATCTACTAAAATTATA